ACAGGGTTAAGCCTGATGTTACGGTGTTTTAGTCAAAATCTGTTAAAAGTAGGCATGAAATCTGAAAATGAGAGCATTACCTGTTACTGTCAAATTAAAATCCGTTAAGTCCAACTATCCATCTAACAAAAAGAGCCTCACTTCTAAAATACTGTTAAAACAACAAAAAGCAGCAGAATAAATATGAATTGTTTTTGCTTAAGTTGAATACTAATCATCTAGTGACCAGCAATGCAATACTGGTCACGTTAAAAGATCATATACAGGGCTCGATGTTAACCATTGCCCGATCGGCCAGGGCAAATAGTTTTTATTGTCAGGAGAGGACAAATTTCATTGCATTTGCCCGCCGGGAAAGTGCAATGATCACAAAAAAAATTATGTATCACTCAAAATTACTTTTAAATCACCGACATTCGCTGAAAATGACCCAGAAGCGTTGCCGGCGCCATTTTTGTTGTTTTGTACACATTCTCGCGTGATTTGAAAAAGCCGTGAGATTTTCCACCAGATGTCGTGATTTTTGTCCACCTAGCGGTAATTCTAATGTAGTTACCAAAATGACAAACAAGCTAAGAAGCGCTATCATATGGCAGTCTTCTCTACAGTGATGCAGGTCAAACATTAAAAAATTTTCATACAATTTTTTTCTCTCAGACATTGGAGAGGTGCATTTAAATGTTATAGAGCTAAACATGTTAGATTGGTGACCTGTTATGTTATTATTATTGTCTTGTTGCTGCATTTTTTATGTCAGGGAAAACTAATCCTGAATTCTGAAATGATGTCAGACTGTGGAAACCCTGTATACGGTAAAATAACTATGTATAATGATTCTCTAGAAAAGTCACATTATATTAATAGTATTATCTTGTATAAACATACGGGGACTCTAAAATAAAAGTTATTCATTTGTGACATTGATTTTGATTTTCTGTCTTGTGATTTATCTTAAGTTTTTAGCCTTTCAAGTTTTTTTTTTAGATTTTTAACATTACAATTTATATTTTTCCAAGCACACAACAGTTTAAAGCAAAGTTTAGTTTGGAAAGAATGTGCAGGAAGGATTGAAAAGCATGTTAACACTGTAATGTAGGCTTGAGTTCGTCTAACAGACATTAATGTATGACCTGCATCACTGTACAGAAGATAAATAGCCATATTTACACTGAGCGCATGGCATACAATTATGCCAATTTTCCTAATCCCTGACCGATAATTTTTAATCTAGGGTTATCTGGGTGGAGGGTAAAATAGGTGGTGGGTGTGTTACTGTACTTACATTTTTTTTTGCCTTGCTGTTGTTTTTTAGCCTGCCAATTCAAAAAAAAAGTGTCTGATTCACGCCAATTCCCGGACAAAAATCACACCATCTGGTGGAAAACACGCACCTTTTTCAAATCACGCGAGAATGTGTGAAAAACAACAAAAATTGCGCCGGCAACGCTTCTGGGTCGTTTTCACAGAATGTCGGTGATTTTAAAGTAATTTTGAGTGATAAATATTTTTTTTTGCGATCATTGCACTTACCCGGCGGGCAAATGCAATGAAATTTGTCCTCTCCTGACAATAAAAACTACTTGCCCCGGGAGATCGGGCGAAGGTTAACATCGAGCCCTGTATATGATCTTTTAACATGACCAGTATTGCATTGCTGGTCACTAGATGATTGGTATTAAATTGGTATTAAAGCGCAAACAATTCATAGTTATTCTGCTGCTTTTTGTTATTTTAACAGTATTTTAGAAGTGAGCCTCTTTTTCTAAGATGGATAGTTGGACTTAAAGGATTTTCATGTTACAGTAACAGGTAATGCTCTCTTTTTTTGCACTTGCCTGGCGGGCAAATGCAATGAAACTTGTACTCTCCCGACAATAAAAACTACTTGCCCCGGGAGATCGGGCGATGGTTAACATCGAGCCCTGACACCACATTCACCCATTCACTCTCACACGGATGATGCAAACTACATCGTAGCCACAGCCATCCTGGGGCTCACTGACAGAGTCTCTGGCCAGCAGCAGTAGGCATTGCGGGTGAAGTGTCTTTCCCAAGGACACAACGAAAAACCGGAGCCGGGTCTTGGACCGACAACCCTCCAGTCCAGTCCTTTTCAATTCCCCTTAGTCTTTTGAATAAAATACAGCCTCCAATTTGTGAGAGGCGGATACGCCTCCAAATTGTACATAGAATTGCTTTGCATGGTCTGTGGGGAACCACAGGAGGGTTCAGAAGCAAAAACTAAGAAGTGTTCATAAAACATATCTTGCTGCAGTGGAAACTGACATGATGCTCTGAGTAAGATCACTTTCCCCAGAGTGAACTAGCCTCTGACATCATAAGGTTGCTGTGATTCCTGCGATGACTATAATTTAGGCTACTTTTTAAAGTCATGTAAATAATTTTGTGGTGTGATCTGGTGTTTTGTTTGTGCTGCAGTATCCTGAAGGACCTGCTACGTGTTCAGCAGAGCATCGGCTACTGTCCTCAGTTTGATGCTCTGTTTGACGACCTAACTGCCAGGGAGCATCTGCAGCTCTACACTCGCCTTCGTGGGATTCCCTGGAAGGACCAGGGGAGGGTCAGTATGAACATACACCTTTATTTTACAGTAGTAGGAGCTAGCCAAAAGATGCCAATTTCCTAAAACTGGAAGAGATGAGCTTTCATCTTCATTTTAACAAAAGCATGTTCTTCTAAACATGAGTAGCAAAAACCAGAGCCCTGATCTGGGTTTGAGTCTCAGCTGGGTCATTTTGTTTCAGGTTTTTACATCTGCAATCAGAGGTTTTTAACCCTTGTTCTCCTCCCCCTGTGTCTCTCTACCCCACAGGTTGTGCAGTGGGCTTTAGAAAAGCTGGAGCTCTCAAAGTATGCAGACAAACCCGCCGGCACTTACAGCGGAGGAAACAAGCGCAAGCTTTCCACAGCTATTGCTCTGATCGGATACCCGTCTCTTATCTTCCTGGTAAGATGTTGGAAGAGTCTTACTAAACTAAACATTCAATGTTTTTTAAATCATTATAGCCTTATAGGAAATAAAGCAATGAGAAACAGGGAAACTGTTAAGGCTTTACCTTGTTATTGATCGAGACGCCACAGTTCTCCTAATTCAGAACTTTATGTCCACTGCAAGATCATGGTCCCCATGTCCTAAACCTACTGCTTGTTGTACAGGATATGTATGAAAAGAGTTGTCCTACAAAAACTCACTTTAAAATGCTCACAGTCTGGTGCAGAGTTTGAAGCAGCTGATCCAGCTGAAGGCAAAGGAGCTTTAGAGCTGTTGCTTTCTATTCTTCTCCACTTTTTTAAACTATGAATGTTGCTTTTGATGAGCTCCAGCTCTAAATAGTGGCTGTTTGCAGGGATTATTGGGGGGAAGTTGAGCATTTCCTCCCTCCCTCTCATTCTTATTGTTTAAGCTCATAGTATTTGTTAAATAGAATACTAGGAGAGACCTCACACATTTACTGAGCGAAGTGATTCAAACTTCGGAGCTTTCTGTTGCCAGACAAGCACCAACATCTCCTCCACCAGGAAGCTGTGCTGTATTTTATGGGGCGCCTTTTGTAAAATTAAGCAGTCAAAAATTAGGAGCAATATTTATGCTTATTTAGCGTGTTTTAAGAGAAAAATAAGGGTCAATTATTTCAACTTCTTTCAGTATGTCATTCATTGATTTATAAAAATCTTACTTTAATTTAGTTTGCAAACTAAATATTTAGTTTGGAGCTAAGTAGTTATTTAATAAACTAAATATTTAACTCCAAACTAAATATTTATTAAAAAAAAAGTAAGATTTTTTATAAATGAATGGATGACATAGTGAAAAATATTATTATTTTTCTCTTAAAACATGCTAAATAACCATAAATATTGCTCCTAATTTTTGACTGCTTAACTTTACAAAAAGTGCCCCATAGAATTTAAAATGTTTATTTAA